CCTGAGGAAAGCTTTTAACTGTGTATCAAAATTATTCTTGTTACTGAACTCGTAAACACAAATAGAGTGTTTCCAGAAGGGTTCCACAATTAAGCCACAATCGGTATAGGAAAACACATTACCCATCGAATTCGATAAGCCAATGTGAAGATTATCACCAAGCACATATCTGTTAAAAAGATTAAATTAAACATTAAGGGAAATCCAAGGATTTTGCACTGGACTATTATGCAAAAATATCAGTTGTTGGAAAAATGACAATGCTGAGGGTGTAAGGACCGGCGGAGAAGGGGAGAAAGATGAGGGGGGAAAATGGGAGGGAAGAAACAATGAGGTGAGATAAAGAATTGTCACTGTGAAACAGTAAAAATAGTATACACGAAAGGAATAGCGGAAAACTAAGCCGAGGAGTGTGCTCGATGACGAAAGTAACAGAAAAGTGAAAAAAAAATTATTCAAGAAAAAATCAATTCAGCAAAAAAGTGACAAATCCCTACCCTAAAAGCAAATATTTCCCGACACGTTAGATTTAGTTATCCCGGATGGCGAGAAAACCATTGGCTCGGAGACCAGAAGAGTGGGAGAGCTGAAACTTTGAAGGAATGTTCTCAGCCCACGTGGGACTGTAAAATTTCAAATTCAGCCTCCAGATATGCGGCCTTAAGAAAAGTCATTCCCAAGCAAGCCGGAATTAGGACAAAAAGCAACGCTTTCTTGAAAAGATTGCAAAAAAATGTTAAGAACGATGTGTAACGCAGTCCTTTCGAATTTAAATTTTGCTAGGATCTTGTGGATATTTCATTTTAAATACCAGTATTTATAAATGCTAGAGTTATCTGCAAAATTTCTTCCCCTCTACCCATTCCCTCCAATAAAAAGAAGTATTCACAACTGTCTTTTAATGAAAAAAATAAAGTCCGCGAAATACTTACTCGCTGAATGAGCCAGTAGATGGTTTCAGAACCACTGCACAAGTTGCAACACAACTGAACGGATTTGGCAGAACTGTGCAAAACGAAGAGGAACCATCGATCCTGAGACCACACCGGGGACAATGATTGGGTACAGCAGCAAATGAATTAACAATACTGTGTAAATCGCAATCCTTGTGAGTAACAATAAAGGG